TTCAGTCGCTCAGTCGTGTCCAACTCTTTGTGACCCCATGGACTGCAGCATGCCAGGCCTCCCTGTCCAAAGAAGGCAGATAGCTAATAAACATATGGAAAGATGTTCAACATCTCTCATTAGAAAAATGGAAATCAAAACTAGAAATCAAAAGTTCTGGGGATGTAATGTATAGTTAATAATATTGTATATCTGAAATTTGCTGAGAGTAAATCTTAAAGATCTCTTCATAGGAGAAAAAAATTGTAACTGTGTGGTAATGGATGTTAACTAAACTTGTGGAAATCATTCTGCAACAGAGAAATCAAGTAGTTACATTGTATACCTAAAACTAATACAATGTTGTAAGATTGAAAGACAACCACTTAACATTTATCTCAAGGAAAGAGTATTTGATTTCATGACTAAATGAAACAATTTGCTATTTTAAAAAATATAGTTCAAGTGCTATTGGTAATAGCTTAAACTCATTTCCTGATGGTGGAACGGAGAAGGAAATGGCAACCCACTCCAGTACTCTTGACTGGAAAATCCCATGGACCAAGGAGCCTGGTAGGCTGCAATCCATGGGGAAGCGAAGAGTCCGACACAATTGCGTGACTTCACTTTCACTTTTCACTTTTATACATTGGAGAAGGAAATGGCAACCCACTCCAGTGGTCTTGCCTGGAGAATCCCAGGGACGGGGGAGCCTGGTGGGCTGCTGTCTATGGGGTCACACAGAGTTGGAGACGACTGAAGTGACTTAGCCACAGCAGTAGCAGCAGATGGTGGAAAGAAAAATGCATTCCAAGACCTTGATTTAGAGATTTTAAAAGATATAGTTAATAAAATTTCTATCATCATTGAAAGGAGATATTACAACTCTTTAAAATAATTAAAATGGAAAGAAGTAAGTGTTTATCCTTATCTTCCCTGTAAGAAAGGAATTGTAGGGTAAGCAATGGCCATAGATGATTAGGAAAAATTATTCCTGGTGTAAATTCTAGCTAATATGTGAAGAAAGAATCAGATAATATGAAAATTACCATTTTGTAGTCCCAAATAAATGTTAATTTAGTCACGGATCATTAACAGAGACTAGGTGAAAGATCAACGGTCAGTGGGGAACTTTTATCTGCAGCATGTCAATTACCACCCCTCATATTACTTCTTACCTGGACCCACTGACCACTCTTAGACACTAATCACGGGACAACTGGACATTACATGGATCTGACATAATGTGACATGGGCACCCAGCAACACCTTGGAACAGGACTGGCAAAAACGTTTCACCTAAATTTCATCGAGGTTTTAGTTCCAACTTCCGTTTTACAAGAAATACAGAGACTGATGCTGAAGCTACAATACTTTGGCCACCTGATGTGAAGAGCCAATTCATTGGAAAAGATCCTGATGCTGGGATTGAAGGCAGGAGGAGGAGACGACAGAGGATGAAATGGTTGGATGGCATCACAGACTCGATGGACATGGGTTTGAGCAAACTCTGGGAGATGGTTAAGGACAGGGAAGACCGGCAGGCTGCAGTCCATGGGGTTGCAAAGAGCTGGACACAACTGAGAAACTGAACAACAACAGAGAATTGAAGAACAAGTTAGCCCTCCAAAAAAGCAGAGGAATCCTGAAGGTATGTTGCAGAACAGATAAGCTGACTTCTTCAGTGCTTCACTGACAAAACAAATAGGGCAACACTGTTCTAAATTAAAGGACATTTAAAAACTAAATGCAACCCAGGGGGGTTGTTTGGATCCTGATTCAAACAAATCACCCACCAAAGTGTATATCTGGCTCAATTTTAGGAAAGCTGAATATTAAGTTGACTTAGATGATTTTTAGCAATCACTGTTAATTATGCTACATGTAAAACATAATTTTATAATATGTAGACTAAAGTACTTTGGATTAAAAGACATGATTTGCTTTAAAATAGTTTTGCAAAATAGATAAAACTAATATAACATATTGTTAAAATAATTGTAAATCCAAGCAATGGGTATATGGGAATTCACACACTTATCTCTACTTTTCTGTGTGTTTGAAATTTTTCATAATAAAATTTCCAAAATATACAATATAAAAGAATAGTACAAATGTCAAATGTGTGCAATAGCTGTATTTAAATTGTCTGTCAAGACTTACAGACTTCAAGAAGGAGCTTATGGTTTGGTTACCTGGTTATGGGGTGGGGCTGGGTGAAGATGGAACCATAGGATGAAAGGATAATTAGGGAGTTTGGAGTGGACATGTACACCCTGCTATGTTTAAAATGGATAACCAACAAGACCCTACCATATAGCACATGGAACTCTGCCCAGTGTTATGTGGCAGCCTGGATGGGGAGCTTGGAGGAGAATGGATACAAGTGTGTGTATGGCTAAGTCTCTTCACTATTCACTTGAAACTCTCACAACATTGTTAATCAGCTACCCCAATACAAAATAAAAAGTTAAGAAAAAAAAAGTCTGTCAAGTCACTGTAGTCTGATTCGAATTAGGAGTGGTGGGCCATGTCCAATCCACTCACATGTGGCGCATGGAGCTCTACCACTCACCTTGTGACCTTGAACAATTACTACACCTCCAAGCTCTGTCTTTGGAAAATGAGCTCAGGGTAGCCCCTACCCCTGTGGTTGCTGTGGGGATTTACCTACATGAGTTAATACAAATAGGAGACGTGAGTGACAGAGTGAAAGTGTTCAACCAGTATTTATGCCTTCCCTGGGCCAGGCACACGCTGGGTGCTCCCTCACTGAGCCTATGGGCTAGGATGTGTCAGGGAGAAAGACATTTCCCCCTACCTTCCCAGGTTCTTCTGGCTGGTCTAAGAATTAAATTGACAGGAGACAGATTCATGGGAGAAAAAAACAAAATTTTAATAATATGGATGAAAGGGGGAACCCAGGAAAACTAAGTAACTCGGCTGAAACCCTCACCTTAAATAGCATCACCAGCTAAAGACAAAAGAGGATGTTGAAAGTATGCAGGATCAGTTATGGGAGCTTGTCAGGAAAAAACAAGGGTAAGATTTTATGCAGGTATAAATTCCTCCCTTCTCCACTTGATAGGTTTCTAGAGATTTGGTCATCTGCTTTCCTATAGCAAGGGACACATGACTACAAAGAGATTCCCCTTATAAATGTAAACATTAACAAACGGGTAACTCCTGCTAGGTTTTCAGAGTTGTTTTGTCTGTCTTTGTTTTGTCTGCTGCTTTTTAGAAAATAACCAGCTTCAAATAATTAATAAACCAAAGAAACATATTTTAGGGTGACAAAGTCTGCTTACCTATGGATGGCAATACAGACCTTTCTCAAGCAGCACAGACATACACAAACACAAGCATCAGCAAGGGCCATGGAAGGAAAAGACAGCGGGCCATCAGAGATGTGCTGACTGGTGAGTGAGAAGGTCAGTCTCCAGGTTCAAGACATTCAACTGGATAGCAGAGTGGTTAAAGCAGGAACTCTGGGTAGAGTAGTCGAGTCTGCCTGCAGCTCCTCCGCCTCCTACTAACCGTGTGATCGTGAACAATTCACTTGACCTCTTAGTTCCTTCATCTATACAATGAGTGCAAGAAGGCACAGTCCTTACCTCATAAGGCTGTGGTGAAGATTACATGGTTAATAGTGTATGGTGCTTAGCACTGCAGAGGGAGGCAGCAAGTGCCCTTTTGTAGTTGGCAGAAGAGCAACTGGCACACACCAAGCCCTTAGCTATTATCTCAATGGTACTTTGACCGAGAGCAAAACAAAATATAATGCTGTCTCAACAGTCTGGCCTAGGAGGACTTAATGAGCTAAGGCTTTCAATTTCCTCTTTTAGTAAACTCCAGCTGCACTTGGAAGAATTTATTTTTTAAAAAAAATCTCCATGTGCAGGTTCCATTCTGAAATAAATGAATTCAAAATTCTTAGGGAGAGACCATGGGCATCCTATTTTTTTCAGAAATTTCTCCATTTTAATTGCAGCCTGAGTTGAGAACCATCGATCCAAGACACTCAAAATGCAAGACGGTTCAAAACTGTAAACCTCTACAGTGCAATGAGTTATTAGTTGCTGTGGCCTCCAGTATACAACCCATGGTCTAAGAGCATACAAATAACCAGGCTTCTGAAGCGGCTGTGTGTGTTAGTCGCTCAGTCGTATCTGAACGGTGAGGTTCCCAATAATTCCTGTCCTCTCATACCACCCCCCTTTACCTTGACCCCCTCAACCCCTTTACTCCCAAGAGCAGAACAAACATCTGGAGGAAATGCGCACAGGTAAGTCCCCTGGCTTAATTTAAGAGCCGGCTAGGACAGGGAGGCCTGGCGTGCTGCGATTAATGGGGTTGCGAAGAGTCAGACACGACTGAGCGACTGAACTGAACTGAACTGAAGACAACACTCTCCGGGGTTGAATTATTTACAGGCAGAGGCCTCCCAGCTCAAGCAGTGTATGGTGCATCCGCAGCAAGGTACCTTTCCGCATCCCGGAAACCTTTAACACGAAGTTAACCCAGATATTTGTCCTTAGGGTGGGGAGAAGGAACGGATCAGGTTTCAAATCCCTGGTCATAGAGTCCATTTCCGAAACCGTAATTCAAGAAACGAGTTTGTCTACTTGGAGGGGCTTAAGTGCCATGTCCTCCATCCAGCTCGCTTGGGTAGTGGTTCCATTTGGATGTATACATGTGTCAAAACCCACCGAGCCGTAAATCTGGGCCTTTTCCTTGGGGTAAAGGCACGCCTTTATTTTTAAAAACAGCACTGGGGAAAATTAAGTCGGCACTCAGTCGTTCGCTACGAGCTTCACGTAAAAAGATGAACCAAAGAGGGGAACCCCAGATTAGCTACCCACGCCCCGTGTGACCTGCCAGATTAGGTTTACAAAGGGAGCCGGGCTGGAGGGTCTAAGGACGTCCTTGGACTTTCCGACAACGCCGGTCCGGAAAGGAGCAGACGGAGCCCCAAGCACCGCGCGGTTTCGCCTGGATCTTGCGCGGCCAGGCGTCCTTACCGAGCAGCAGGAAGGACAGCAACCACTGCAGCACCGCCGCCGTCTGCAGCCGCCGCGCCAGCGGGATGTTGAGCGGCGCAAACTCTACCTTCATGGCCCGGCCGTGGCTAGCGAGAGCGGCGCAGAGCGCTGCCGCCTGGGACCTCGCTGCTCCGCTGCGCCTGCAGGGTGTGAGCGGCCGCCCGGGCCAGCGCCCGGCCCTCCGGGCGCAGAGGAGGCGGCGACCGCCCCGCACTGGTCGCGGACTGGATTTGGTCTTGGGTGGGAGGGAGCGCCGGGACCGAGCCTGGGGGCTGCCAATCACGAGCGCCGGGGCTCTGGAGCAGCTGCGGCGCCCGGGGGCGCACTGGCTGACTTGCCAGGGCGCCGAGGAGAGAGCGCAACGCTGGGCACAAGCGTCGGCAAGTGGGGTCCGCTGGCAACCTGCCCGAGCCGGGCAACTCGGGTGTTCCTGCAATTAGCCTAGAAGCTCGGGGATCTCCACCAAACCCTCACCACTGTTCAGAGATCGATTACTGTGCGCCCGGCTTCAGCATCCGCCCTTAAACCCACCTCTTCCTCCTAAAGTGTCTGCCGCTGGGGAAGAGTTAGGCTCTCCCACCAGCTGGAGGTAGGCGTAAGAGTTAGCTTCTCTGGAGCTTGGTACCCATCTGTTTATTGGTCTGTGTCCCCCACACCACCCTCAAACTCTGGGGGACTCCTCACCTTTGTGTCTCAGATTCCCACACTTATCCTGAAAACCTTTCGCTTACTCATTCAATGGACATTTATTGAATACCTACCACTTTCCCGGAACCAATCTGGGCACTGAGGATATACTAGCTCATTCATCAATTCTGCTCTCAGTACAAATGGGGGTTGGAGGGTGGGGGTGGGGGAGGGAGAGAAACAAGAAAAAATAACACCATTGGGTGTGTAATTGCAAAGTGAAACCCTACTATGAATGAATGAGAAGGTTCTAGGACTTAGACTGGAGGGTCAGTCTCAGAAGAAGTGACCTCGGCTTTAATTATAAAGGTGAATCTAACTCAAGCGAAGGGAAGCACGTGTGCAAAGGTCCTGTGGCTGAAACTAAAGACCAATATAGTGGGAACTCAGGGAACAAGGAGATTGTAGTGAAATGACTCAAAAACAGTGGCCAAGAATCAGATCCTTGCAGGCTGTGTTTAGGGTTCAAATCTTTACCCTAAGATTTGCCACGGAAGGATTCCATTTATGATATGTTAAATAAATGGAGAGATTCTAAATTGTGCCTCCGGCTTCCCTTGTGGCTAAGTGGTAGAGAATCTGCCTGCCAAAATAGTAGACACAGGCTGGATCCCTGGGTCAGGAAGATCCCCTGGAGAAGGAAAGGGCAACCATTCCAGTATTCTTGCCTGGGAAACCCCATGGAGAGAGGAGCCTGGTGGGCTGATAGTCCATGAAGTTGCAAAAGAGTCAGACATGACTTTGCAACTAAACAACAGATTGTGCCTCATCCTGTGAGCACACACTACATTTTCTTTATAAATCTTACTGTAGAGTTGACCAACACCAAGTAGGAGGTAGCTGTCAAGTCATTGCTAGAGGGAGTTCGGAACAGGCAAATTGACATAGTTGACTACCAATCCCCCCACCATGCCCCTTTCTCCTTCAACATTTTAATAGAAAGTTGGATAAAAACAACAACGCCTGAGTAGTTCAGGGGAGTAGTTTGTGACTTTTTGTATGCAAAACTTGCTGTTTTGTTTTTTTTTTCCTAATTGAGAAATCACTTTGTTTTTCTGCCCCATTTTCTTTATTTCAAGCCACAGGTCTACTTGGAGGGTCATGCAGCAAGTGGCTTGTAAATAAAATCAGAGTCTATGAATAGTGTCAGCACATTAAGAGACAGAACCACTGACTTCTCTCCTTAAGTCAAGATCTTTGGGATCCAGGAGTTGGTATTATTTATGGCACACCTGAGAGGTACCTGGCTCCGATTAACATGACCATGCTACTCACTACAAAAAAGCCCAAGGGCAGACTACTAAAGATGCCAGTGTCACCATTTTCTGAAGACTTAGTGGTAGCCCAACCCATGGACTTCATCACAGCTTTCTTCCATGTGGAATAACGAATTTCGCTCTCCTTGGCATTGATCTGAGGTTCAAACCGCTCCATCGTGACAGCTGACAAATCCTCAGGCTCGAGACTCCACACGCTGACCCCTTCTGCAGCCCCTGCGGCCATGGCAGCTCCCAAGGCAGTTGTTTCCGGCATCGAGGGCTTCACTACCGGGATATACAGAATGTCGGCTTGCAGTTGCATCAGAATTTTGTTGTTGGTCATCCCCCCGTCCACCTGCAAGTGACTGAGTGGAATTCCACAGTCGCGGTTCATGGCGTCCAGAATTTCTCGGGTTTGGAAACAAACAGCTTCTAGTGCAGCAAAAGCAATATGGCATTTATTGGTGAACTGAGTGAGCCCACAGATGATCCCTCTGGCACTGGGCTCCCAATAAGGGGCATATAGGCCTGAAAAGGCTGGGACGAAATAGCAACCATAAGAGGTACCTACTTCTTTAGCAAGTTTTTCAATTTCCTCTGAGGTCTTTATAATTCCAAGATTGTCCCTTAGCCAGCGAACGACAGCACCGGCTATAGCTACGGAACCTTCTAGTGCATAATATACTGGTTTGTCTCTGCCGAGCTTGTAAGCCACTGTGGTCAGAAGGCCGTGTTCAGAAAATACACACTTATGGCCTGTATTGCATAGTAAGAAACAGCCTGTCCCATACGTGTTTTTGGCTTGTCCATCCTGGAAGCACAGTTGTCCCACCAATGCAGCAGACTGGTCCCCCAGACACCCCGATATGGGCACACCTTCCAAAGACCCAGCTTTCATTAGGCCATAGATCTCAGAAGAACTCCGGATATTTGGGAGAATTTTCATTGGAACTTCAAAAAACTCGCAGAGCTCTTTATCCCATTCCAAAGAGTGAATGTTGAAAAGCATTGTCCTGCTTGCATTTGTTACATCTGTACAATGGACACCTCCTTGGGCTCCTCCCGTCAAGCTCCAAATAAGCCATGAATCAATGGTCCCAAAAAGCGCTCTATCTTCTTCAACTGCCTTTTTAACTTTTCTCACGTTGTCAAGGAGCCAACGGAGTTTCACTGCGCTGAAGTAAGTGCTCAGTGGAAGGCCCGTCTTGGTCTTGACAAAGTTGTTATTTACTGGAATGCTTTTACTAAGACTCTCAACGGTAGACTGGGTTCTCAGGTCGAGCCACACCACAGCATTGTAAAGAGGTTCTCCAGTTAACTTGTCCCAGACTACAGTGGTTTCCCTCTGGTTACTGACACCAATAGCTTTTATGTTGGAAATATCAATATTGAGCTGTCCAAGTTTCTCACACGTTTTCTCTATACACTCATAGACGGACAGCAGGATTTCCTTGGGGTCTTGTTCCACCCATCCTTCTTTAGGAAACTCTTGTTTTATTTCCACTTGATGATGACTAAGTAGTTCGGCTGTTTTTGAATTGAAAACCAAAAAGCGCGTCGAGCTGGTGCCCTGGTCCACTGCTCCCACCAACGGCCCCAAAACTGCTTTCTTCGTGGCTGCCATGAAACTAGCTTCGGTCGGCGGGCTGGCGAACGCTTCCCGTTTCCCAGGTGACGGCGGCAGGTGGGGGAGGGGAGGACGGCGAGCCCAGAGGGCCAAGCGGCGCGCAGCCTCAGAACGCATTATCTGCTCCAAGCTTCTCGCCCCGCCCCTTCCACTTCTAGACTTCTTCCCTGGACTTCCCACCACTGCTACTGGGAATGTTATATGAGTATACACCAAGTCACACATTTTGCAAAGCCCTTCACCAAACAGAGCGCATCGTGAAGCAACCCTGTGAAATTAGCTCATTTGTCAGTTAATGAAGGCCAGGGTCAAAGTCAAGCAACTGGCAGAGTGACAATTCAGCTTTGTTTATAACAAAGAGAGGAGAGTCCTCCCTTCTTCAGTTGACCCAAACGTGGAACAAGCCTTTATGGAGTACCTGCTCGGCACTAGGCATAGCCCTCGGTCCTGATAATCCAAAGGTGAATTAAGACAGGGTCGCTGAGACTGAGAATTCACACGCATTCTTTCATTGACTATTTATGGAAGGGCGTCCACGTGCTAAACACTAGGTGGGGGATGGGGATGGGCTGAATAAGAGGGGATGAATAAGAAAGGTCTCTGACCTCATAGGGCTCAGAGTCTAGTGAGAGAAACAAAATAAACCAAATGTGTGCTAGTGCCCTGAAAGACACACACAAGTTCTAGTGATAGAAGATGAACACCTAATTATTTTTTAAATTAATTTATCTATTTTAATTGGAGGCTAATTACTTTACAATATTGTGGTGGTTTTTGCCATACATTGACTTGAATCAGCCACGGGTGTACATGTGTCCCCATCCTGAACCCCTTCCCACCTCCCTTCCCATCCCACCTCCCTCCACATCCCATCCCTCAGTGTTGTCCTAGTGCACTGGCTTTGACGCCCTGTTTCATGCATTGAACTTGGACTGCTTCTTTCACATAGGGTAATATACATGTTTCAGTGCTATTTTCTCAAATCATCCCACCCTTGCCTTCTCCCACAGAGTCCAGAAGTCTGTTCTTTACATCCGCGTCTCTTTTGCTGTCTTACATATAGCGTCTTGGTTACCATCTTTAACACCTAATTATTAATAGAAGAGATTGGAAGTATCAAGAGTGGAAGTAGGGAGACCATAAGGAGGCTATTGTGAGAATAGACGATGCTGGTTGGCCTCCTGTGTTAGCAAATAGAGATGGATTTGACATAAGCTTGAGGGATATAAAGATTGACAGGTTAATTGGATTCACAATCTATTGGCAGGTAAGACAAGTGGGATACCCAGAATTCCTATTCCTAGTCATTTGGAGTTCGCTCTCCTGAATTATGCTCTTGTCACTTTCCCGGAGCCCTCAGCAGATAGAAAAGAATTGTCATATCTCATCACAACTCATTTGAGCAAAGTAGGGACCCATGAAGGTCTATCACCACTTTAATTAGCAAATAAATCATTCATTCACTTGTCTAACATTCAACACACTTATTCTGTACATTTTGTGTACATATTGTGTCCCAGGTTATTGGAGTTAAATGATTATTGTAGTTAAATGGTGAGAAAGTTTTAATTCATCAAGCTATTCAAAACAACTTTTCTGTATGAGTTTTGTTGATCTCTAGAAATAAAACTAATAGGAAAACATGAACCTTAGACATTATCTTTCTAAACTACGCATTTTGTGGAATAGGGAGCTTAGGGCAGAGAGGTTGATTTGTCTGTGGCACTCCAGCTAGTTAATGGCAAGGAGTAGACCGGATGTCTTTATGACTGCACTAAAACAGATGAGGAGAAGTGATGTCCTGTAGGAGTGTGGGTTTCATACTTTGACTTTAGCAGGGGTCTTTTCTTTAAATCTTCAAATAACTCCAATTTATAAAAGAAATCAAAGTGAAACTGCTCCTATTGGAAATGAACGGGGACCCTGACTGCCACTTTGTCAGTATCTTCCTCCTTCCCGAGGTAACTGTATCTTTAGCAAAATGAAACTAATATCATCAAATAGTTACAGAACTGAAACCATTCAGTGTCATTTTGGGGGGCTCCAAAGAGTTCTAGTACCACAGTCCCTTATGTCTCAGCACAGAAAGAATTCAGCGAGAGGCAAAATGGATGGATAAGAAGTGATTTATTAGAATAGGATGCTTGTGAGGCTTACAAGCAGGGGGGGGGGGGGGGGCGCCACACCTCCCAGAACTTACTGGGCTACAGTTTAATAATCAAAGGATAAGTGGGGAGGGGGAGAAGAACTACTTTGTCTTTCTTGAGTAGGCATCATGCTTTCATCATCAGTTCCTCCTCCAGGCTGAGGAGGGGAGTTTTGGTGTCCCTACATGCAAGCTAGGTTCACAATTATTGTTTTTAATATGTACAGATAGTGTGTCCTAACTTACCAAGCTCACTGGGCAGGATGTGGGTCTCATGTCACCATCGTTTTATTGTTTGGGGGCATATCTCGTGTTTCTCTTGCATAGTCTTGTTGTGAATCAACTCTGCTTGATTTTGTACTTAAGCAAACCTGCTTTCTCTTTTTTTTTCTTTAATAATTTTAGTTATTTATTTTTGGCTGTGCTGGGTCTTCGTTGCTGTGAAGGCTTTTTCTCTAGTTGCGGTGAGCAGGAGCTACTCTCCAGTAATGGTGTGCTGTCTTCTCGTTTTTGTGGTTTTTCTTGTTGGGGAGTGCAGTCTTGGTTGCGCTGAGGCATGTGGGATCTTCCTGGACCAGGGATTCAACCCATGTCTCCTGCATTGGCCGGAGTATTCTTTACTGCTGAGCCACCACGGAAGCCCAAACCTGCTTTCTTGAGGAATCATTAACTTACAGGAGTCTCCCACACTTATCTTGTTTTACAGTACCCAAATGGGATTAACTATTTCATCACCAACTTTGTCCCATTTAGAATCTCCGAGGGACTGGCAAAATGGGTTGAAAACCACTTTGTGCGTGCGTGTGTGCGTGTGTATGTGTGTGTGTGTGTGGTGGGGTGGTAGTAGTGGGTCATTTAATATTTGGAGAAATACACAGCTTTTAAACAGGGTTGCAGTTAAGTAACTGTATGTTATGTATCAATACATCATTGATACATTGAGTCAATACACATTGACTCAGTGCTGACTATCTACCAGGTTCTGTCATTGTCATCCATGTGCGCTCAGTCATGTCTGATTCTTTGAGACCTTATGGACTGTTGTTTGCCAGGCTCCTGTGTCCAAGGGATTCTCCAGGCAAGAATACTGGAGTGCATTGCCATTTCCTTCTCCAGGGGATCTTCCTGACCCAGGGGTCAAACCTGCGTCTCTTGCATCTCCTGCACTGGCAGGGGGATTCTTTACCGTTGAACCAGTATCTCACCAGGTACTGGACTACATGCTTCATATGCTGTGTTTGCTTTAAGCCTCACAAAAACTCTCCAGGGTAATACTATTATTCCTTTTACCAGTAAAGAAAGTGAGGCTAGAGGTCAAACTAATTGTTCACCTAGTAGGTAGTAGAAGTGAGTTTCTGTTGTTTGAAAATGGGTTTGTCTGTTTCTAGAGTCTGAGCAAATAACTGCCATACTAGGCTCCTCCTCAAATGATATCACAAGGAAGGAAGGGAATGTTGTTGAAACCAAGGAATAAGTCACTGAAGAGCAAGTGGAAGAATGCAGAGGGTCAAATTTGTCATAGTTTGGGTTATGGTTAGTTATTCATTCAGTCAATAGTTATTTGCCAGTCATATTCTATGTGCTTGGCACTGGGTATATATGAGTGAATAAAACGTGCATAACTTTTCAATAAATTCAACAAAAATTTATAAAGCAGCTTTGCCACGGTAAATCCTGAGGTGGCCATTGTGTTGGAAATTAGCTGTCCAACTTGAAGATCTGAGATTCCAGCAACCAAGTGTGGGTCCTCTTTCCATGTCTTATCTTTAATTAAGGAATGAGAAGGTGACAGTTCAGATTGCATCATAGGTTACAAAAGCCTACCCTTGGAAATGAGTAACTAAAAATCACTTCTTTGTTTTGTTTCCTGTGCATTTGACAATAGCTAACTTCTACTAGCAAGAAAATTTTGAAAAGACCCTAATGCTGGGAAAGATTGAGGGCAGGAGGAGAAGGGGACAACACAGGGTGAGATGGTTGGATGGCATCACCCACTCAATGGACATGGGTTTGGGTGGACTCCAGTAGTTGGTGATGGACAGGGAGGCCTGGCCTGCTGTGGTTCATGGGGTCACAAAGAGTTGAACACGACTGAGCAACTGAACTGAACTAGCAAGAAGATGCAATGTTTTTCGATAACATGACATTTTACTGTAATTTAAGGTAATATGTTCCTATTATTAGGAAAGGAAACTGCATTTTCTCTAGAGTCATTGAGAGTCATTAAAGGGGACAGTTTAGGTCACTGTTCTGGTTTTCATAAAGTACATTCATCATAAAGGTAAATATTTCTCTCTCATTTATACACACAATACACACAAGAAACTCAGCTATCACAGTTACCATAATTCATTGAGAGTGACCAGCTCAGGTTAAAGTCAAACAGAGGACCATCACTATGGCAATTTCAATGGAGCGTCCTTTAAGCAGTTATATTTTCAACATTCTTTTGAATGAAGTTCAAGAAACTAGCTTAGGACCCTCTGTTTTTTTATTATCTTCTCAATGAATTGTTTTATCAGTCCAACAGGGTTGGAGTATGTTTGTTCTGAGCAAAGTTTCTGGAGTCTTGCCCAAGAGAGTGAAACTTTGTAACTTTGAAACCCCGCGATGATGGTGCAAAGGTTTCCTTTCTCTGTATTTTCTTGTTGCTATAGGCACATACAAGTTCTCAGATGGTGCTAGTGGTAAAGAACCTGCCTGCCAATGCTGGAGATGTAAGAGATGTGGATTTGAGCCCTTGGTTGGGAAGATCCCTTGGAGAAAGGAATAGTAACCCACTCCAGTATTCTTGCCTGGAAAATTCCATGGACAGAGAACACATGTGTCTCAAAGAGTCAGACACAACTGAGCACATGATAATAAATTATAGGCATGTACAAGTTCTCAGACTCTATATACTATTC